TTTTTTTTTTAAAGTTTAGAGAGCAACCAGAGATATTTTGAAAGTAAAGTGAGCAATGTAAGACGCTTTAAATTTTTATGAATCAAAATTCAACCACCTCAAAGTTCAGTGAGTAATTACAGAATTTTTCAAAGTTTAGTAAGCAATCAAAGACGTGACAATTTGTTAAAGGTATGACGAAGCGCCATACGTGCATTCTGTTAGTCACATAACTAATTTTGTCAAAGATTCAAAATAGATGTTATCCCAGTGAGTAACGTCAAACATTTAGATAAGTTTAGTAAATAGTCAAAGACGTTTAGTAAGTTTAGTAAGCTATCAAAACGTTTTTCAAAGTTTAGTTAGGAATCGTATTAAGTGGCAATTTGTTAAAAGTATGACGGGACGCGACATGTGCGTTCTGTTAGCCATGTCACTAATTCAATAAAGATTTAAATGAATGGTATGCCTGTGAATAATGTTAGACATTTAGATAAGTTTAGTAATCAAAATTTGACATATTAAATTTCAGTGAGCAATCAAATACACAGATGCAAGTGTAATGATCGTTGGAACAATTAACTTAATAAATGCTCGCTCACATATATGCATTTTGTTTGGTTCATACTTCATAAAATTATTTAATTTTTCTCATTGAGTTTTCATAAAACAACAGTGTCGTTTCTCAGTAATTACTAAAACAACATATTGTCTTAAAAAATTAGGGTATTTAAAACTTTTTACACTTATTTGAGTTTCATTTTTTTGAGAACACTTCTCTCACACTTATTCTCAATCACACATTAAAAAAAAAAAAAAAAATTCTTCACGTTTTCTTAAAACTCTCCTTCACTTTTTAATTGTACGTTCACCCAAAAAAAATTTCACTTTCTATAGGGCCTTATCGCGACTTGATGCGAGACCTACTAATTTTAAAACACAATAACTTAAGCTATTTATGAATTATTTTTGTTTGTTTTACTTACGACTATGATATGATTGTCACAACATAAAAATGCTTGTGTGTTCGTAATAGATTAATGTAAATATCATATCTATTATTGAATTAATGAAAATCATGCAAATCAAAATCTCTTTCATACATGCAATACATATCATACGCATAAAGCCAAGAAATTTTTTTACCTTTTTCTAAAATTTACATATATAATTGTACAATCTCTCAATAAAGTAATTTTGTACGTGGATTCATAAATTTTTCCTACTTTTTTATCAAAGATTCTCCAATTTTTAGTTTTTCATTTAATCTATATTTTGTTCTTGAGATTCATTAGATCTGATTCGTTTTATACTTTTAATAATTTGGACCTAATTTTTTTTTTCTTGTTGGCCCAACAAATATTTTCCATTTTTCCTCACCAAAAATTTAACAACTCTGGGGTAACTTTTGTAAATTCAATTTCCTTTAAGCAATTACAGTTCTATACTGACTTGGGGTAATTTTTGAGTTGACATAAACTAATTGAAAAACACAATCTTGCATTGGTTTTTGGGTGTCATGCTAAATAACAAATGTTTTCCTTTTTCACCACAGAAATTGAAATTCTTCTATGAAATTTTTGTAAACTCAAATCTCAATCTCCTTTGGACTGTTACTGTTATTACGTTCTAATTTGGATTCATTTTGAATTAATTTGAAAAACCCAGATTTTTCCATTGGGTTTTTGGGGTTGTCTTGCAATAAAGTTACTATTCTCCTCCATGTTTCCAATAAGGAATTGAAAAAAAAAAAAAGAAAAAAAAAAAGAAAGAAAAAATGATTTTGTTTAATTCTTTGCACATGAAGAATTCACATAATATAGTTAGGATCCATTTGATAGCGTCGTATTTCATGAAAAATGTTAAATCCTAAGAATTTATTTTTTTACCTTGACTGTTTAATATGAAAGTGGAAATGGAGTTCTAACTCCAAAATACAAACGGTTAGGGTCTGATTGTCAATATTTCCATGGAAAATGTACCTTTTCATCAAAATTCATACTTTTGTGCTGTTTGACTGACATTGTTTAAGTAAATAAGAAAAAAATTAAAAATTGTGATGTATTTAATAAATTTTGTGGTGGTAATATAATGACTCGATTATAATTAAGAAATTTTTTTGAATTTGTGCATAATATTATTTTATTAAAACATACTTTTATAAAAATAAGAGAGAGAAAATATATTTTAAAAATAATGAGAACAAACAAGGTTTTTACTGGGATATCTCGTAAATGTTATTCTAAACTAATTTCATATAAGGACTTTTTTTAGTTAATAAATTTAGATTAGATAAAGTTCGGTCACGCGCCACAATTGAGCAAGAGAGCATACCAAACACGAATCTCCTATCCTCCGATTATGCCACGTGGTAAATTTCCTCGTTAATAAGCATTTTTGTAAATTACCCAAACCTAAACAGAACTATCAAAAAAGCAGACATTTTCACATGCGTGTCGGGAAAGGAAGTTGCTCTACCTAATCTCGTGTTCGTCTCTCATTGGTCCACGTTTTTCATGGAATCCCTCTCAACACGTGCCTAGTTTAGATGAAGATAGATACCAAAACGGCCCAAATGGACGGTGAAGATCATTTTGTCAAATTCAAAGTTTCTACGTCACACCAACTGTAATGCATTTACCCTCTGCCCTGACCTGTGTCGGGCAGCTGCCCGTACCACCGACCCCACCGTAACGCCCCAACTATAATTGATCTCTGCTCTGTCTACAAAAAGCTTCATTTTTGAGGTCGTCTCCGGAGATTTTCGTATCCTGTGTTGGTTGATTTTGTTCTCTCCTTTTTCCTCATCAGCTTTTGTTAATCAAGATTTCGTTGATTTTTTCGAATTCTTCGAGGTTTTAATTTGTATACTAAAGGCTTTTTTGAATAATCTTGGGGTTCTTGAGAATAATTTCATGGCGGGTATGTGCTATGGATTAAATGTTGGTGAGACAGAAACAACTGCTCCGGTTGAGCCAAGTTCGAAATCCGCCCGCCGGAGGAGGATGGAAATTCACCAATTTCAATTTGTACCCAACGATGCCGCGGTGGCTCCGCCTCTAGAAAGCGGCAAAAAGAAGCGGCGGACGATGGAGGCTGTTGTTCCGGTTTCTCCTCCCCGGCGGTGCTCGAACGCTGCCGACCAGCCTGAGACCACATCTTTGGATTTATCTGCATCGCCATCGTCGTCTAGGACTGAGGCCGATGTGGTTCTAGAGTGCCCGAAATTTGGCATGACATCTGTTTGCGGCCGTAGAAGAGACATGGAAGATGCTGTGGCAATTCACCCCTCTCTTTGCGGCCACAACCAGAATTTTCCAAGTGGGCTACATTTTTTCGGGCTCTACGATGGCCATGGCTGCTCGCATGTAAATAATCTTTTTATCACTGCTTTGTTCGTAAAGAATTGCCTATGAACTTTTAATTTTGAATAAGTTTGATTTTGGTGATTGTAGGTGGCCACCAAGTGCAAGGATCGGATGCATGAAATAATAAAAGATGAGGTCGAAACTGGGGAGGCCTCTTGGACGGAAATGATGGCCAAGAGTTTCGCCAAAATGGACAAGGAGATAACCGAATGGAGTAGTGCCGCAGCAGGTGTGTCTGCCGCCACTTGCCGCTGCGAACTTCAAACTCCTCAGTGCGACGCAGTCGGCTCCACCGCTGTTGTGGCAGTGGTGTCACCGGACAAGATAATTGTGTCCAACTGCGGCGATTCTCGCGCAGTTCTTTGCCGCAACGGTGTTGTGATTCCACTCTCCACAGATCATAAACCGGACCGACCCGATGAGTTAAATCGGATTCGAGAAGCTGGCGGCCGTGTTATCTTCTGGGACGGACCGAGAGTTCTTGGAGTTCTAGCTATGTCTCGTGCAATTGGTAATTGCTCAAAACACATCATTCATTCTCGAACAATTTTTTCTTCATAGTTATTGGATTCTAACAGATTCTTATTTCTGGGTTTTCTTCAGGCGACAACTACTTAAAGCCGTATGTTATATCAGAGCCGGAGGTGACCATAACTAACCGAACGGCGGACGATGAATGTTTGATTCTGGCCAGTGATGGGCTATGGGATGTAGTGTCAAATGAAACCGCATGTGGGGTGGCGCGTATGTGTCTTCAATCGCGTAAGCTAGCATCGCCCACCAGCTCTCCCGGAAGCGACACCAGTGCCACCTCCGGCGGAGAGAGTTCCGATAAGGCTTGCTCAGATGCCTCAATTTTGTTGACTAAGTTGGCATTAGCGCGAAATAGCTCCGATAACGTTAGCGTTGCGGTGATTGATTTGAGGAGGGAGCATTAAGGAAATCTTTGGGATTTTTATTTTTATTTTTTTTAAATAGCTGCTCTTAAGTGTTAATTAGAATCTTGTACTTTCAATTACTTGATCCTCTCTCGATGCCTTGAAGAGAAGGGAAGAGAGTATTGATATCAAATGATATTCCTAATTGATGTAGATTTTATGTAATATTCTTGTACAAAATGGCAAATAGCCATACATTTCATTTCTAATTTGGATATGAAATTGGATGGTTATGATCTTTACCATTGTATTCAGCTTCATCAACTTGAATATAAATCTTATTTCGGTTTTTCGTTGGATTTAAGAGAAAAAAAAGGAAAATAATCCTTCACGAAGGTGCTAGTCTCTTCTATTTTTGTTTTGATGGTTTTCAATTATATGGATTTTTAAGCAACTATTTCTAATTTGCTGCTATCTTTAAGAACAAAAATTAGACGACTAATGGGTGGTTGTCATCTTTGTTTTTGTTTCGGTATTTTGTTCAGTAAAGTTTTTTAGAGAAGTTAATGTTATATGATTTTATCTAAATATATTTCAGCCACTTTCGAAAACAATTTTAATCGTGTGTGCAGGAACAAAATCGCAAATCGAATTGGAACGGTTGATTTGATATCGTTGTTTCAAGTTCATGTGGACTCGCAGTTTTTTCTATCAAATCGAACCAAATTGTTTCAAAATGACAAAAATCGAACCGAATTGTTTGATTTTTTAATTAAAATATTAATTTTATAAATTTTACAATTTTACAATTTTCACTTTAAAAAAAATTCCAATTTAGCGCACCGATCTAATCGTAGAAAATACATTAGGTTTACCATTATTGGTCTACGGTTTAACGAGCTCACAATGTCTTTAGAGAATCTCCAAAAAACTCCATTTATGAACATTTTAACATAATAGAGAGCATCTTTAAAGAGGTTTTTTTTTTTAATTCCAACAAACTTCTTATTTTGATTCTTTATTTTTTTTTTCTAATGAACATTTAATAATTTCTCAACATATTTTATTTAAATATAATTTTTTATATATGAATGATCAATCAATTCAAATGTAATTTGAAAAAATTAAATTGTAGAATATTGAAATTTATAATGTATTAAATGTAATTATTGTACATTAAGAATAGAGAGTGAGTTTGGCTCTCTAAATTTGGAATGTGAAACACACTTTCTACTTTAAAAAGTTAAAATAAAGAGTCTCTTGGAGTTTATTTTTAAGCATTGACTCTAAAATAGAGAGTATGTTATATTTAAAGAGTCTCTTAGAGATGCTTTTACCCGATATCTAAATTAAACTAAAATTATTTCAAATCATATGAAATAAAAGAAAAAAACATATTTTAGACAACTAAATCATAATTCAACAAAACTACGACATCAAATCACGTCCAAAGTTTCAGAAGTTCAAACATAAACTCTCATTTTCCAATTATTTGGCACTTGTATGCCACTAATGAACAATCGTCGATTGCCTTTTTGCCTATTAGCCTGCTAATTTTTACTTGAATATCCTCTTTTTCTCTTCTATATCGATAAGTCTCATATTCTTATTCAAACCATTTTTTCATTGTTCTTTCTTTTATTTATTGTTTTTGAACTTATTATACACTAGTGAATTGTAGTTTGGATAGAAAAATGATTGTTCACGTACTTAGATGATTAAAGAACTTGTTTGTGGTTTGGAAAGCACAAAGGATAGTGCATTGATTGTGTAAAAATGTTAAAGTTCCCTCACTAGTATTACTACCTGTTACTTTCATAAAATAGTTAGAAAATGAAATTCATAAATTCCCAATAAGCGTAAACTCTATCAATCTTTGAATATCTAAACGTATCATGTTCAATCCATATTTAACTTCTCATTAGCAAGATGAATGGAGTTTTAACCAAATTATAAGAACAGAATGTAACTCTACCTTTACCAACCGTTATGTGACAATATGAACGTCAAATAAGAAAAAGATAAATAAAAATGAAGAAAGATGTATTTGTTTTATTAACATTTAGCAACCAACTTTGAAAATGATTTATTCATAATATAAATGTAATTTAACATTATTAGTTGTCGTTTAAACTTACATGTTAACTTGTTTTAAATATATTACTATAGTATCGATAGGTAAACCGCGGATTAAAATCGAAACAAACTGTAAATTATGGTTTGATTTGGTTGGTTTGAAAAAAATTTAAATTGCATGAAATTGTTTAAGCTGAAAATATAGTATAAATTGTTCAAATCGAACCGCGTTCACCCCAAGAAGATGCATTGTTAATTGATAATTTTTGCAACTTCTTGTTCTCATATATGTTGAACTTTGTCTTGGCACATAATTTTCATAAATGACTCATAAGTGATGGCATGAATTAATTGATTCAAAAGTTTGAATTATTAGAAATAGAACATGTTTAGTTGTATTTAATTGTTAATTTTTTTAGTTTTTGAAATATTTAACTTATTAATACTAATAATTTTAGACATGATATTTAACTCTTGTTTATTTTTGGGGTACGTATTTAACCGGCAAGTGAAGATGCCAGATTGTTACCAGTAGAAAAAATTAGGGGACAAGTGGTGAAGGCAGCCTAATTTGGCCAAACATTGAACTGCCGCTGCACAGATCTTTTGTCAACCGGGTGACACGTTAATTAGATAATTTAATAACTTAATAAAATAGTACATAATTTAATATTATTCCGACCTAGTGATTCGAGGTTTCGGGTGAAGTGGTTAAGCATGAACAAATATATGCAGACCTGTCACCTCTCTATAGGAAAATACTTTAATAATTGGAAATTAGAAATGAAGTGCGTGTATTTGGATAGATTATTTGGAGATCAATAGTGCTGATTGTTTGTGCTAGAGATAATTTAAATAATGGTCACTGAACTTTGGTAAAGATTTTCACCTACTTATCGATTTTTGAAAGTTACTCATTGCTCACTGAGTGCGTGTCTGGGAGCGATTTTGGTTGAGTTTTTAGCAAGAAAATGACCGTTGGTGTGTTAGGGAGGTAGAAACTTTTTTGACTAAATGCGGAAGATTACCAATTTGACCCCCACTTAAAATTCATTCTAATGTACATAATGGCATTCCGGTAATTATGCACATGTGCAATCAGTGCTGTTTGCAAATGAGGGTCCCACAACGGTAACATTTTGTATTATAATTTGGACCAAAATCGCCTCCAGACAGGCACTGAACTTTACTATATATGTTACTACTTGTTCATCGATTTTTAAAAAATTATTCATTACTTACTCAATTTTAAACAAAGTTATTTGATGCTCATTGAACACTGCTATAGGTGACACTAATGGAAATTATATGGATAATCGATTGGCAGCTTTGTTCAAATTTAGATAAATAATAAGTAACTTTTTAAATTTCAATGAACAAGTAGTAACTGATAATAAACTCAGTGGCCATTTATTAAATTTACTCTTTGTGCTGAAATATTAGCTTGATAGCCGTCAACTTCTAGCAAGATTTGACTTAGATTCCAGCATCTTTACTTGTTCCGGGTGGGCAAAATTTGTTGTCTTCCAATGTTCGACTCGAGAAATAACAGCTTAGAAGAGTAATGCAAGAATAATGATCAAGACATTTTTTCGATCAATCTTAATTCTTGTAGTTTAATAAATAGGTTTTACTAAAGAGGTTAGCTCAAGTATTAGCTAATATTCTTGATTATGTGTCTGTAGCTACGTTCTCTACAATTATATAACTTGCAGTAGATCTTCTTGTATGCGCAGTGTACAGGCAGTTCTTGTTCTCTGTCCTGTTGGGACATATTATGTGATTTACCTCCCTTACAAAGCTCTAAGAGTGGGGCGGTGATGACCCTCAAGTAGGGGTTCAACCTTTATTTAACTTGTAGTAGACTATTTTTCAAACATATGTGGCTCGAGCCAACAAGTTCTCATTACGTACCATGAAATCTTTAAACAATCTCTTAAATCATATTATGGACTATTGGCTTCTCCAAAATTGCTCATTTTCCCTCTATCGATAATGCTACTTTGCCAAGCTCCTCTTGCCAGACTTTTTACAGGATACTCACATGATACGAAACTCACCTCATTAAAAAATTATCCCATAAAATACCGACCCCTTGCTTGTGAGCGAGCGAGCTTGTAAAAGTTTTGGCAAGAAGAGCTGGCAGAGCAACACGGTCCGTCCCTCTATTCCTCCCCCAGCCCCCAATTATTGGGAACATTGTACCAAACAAATTGCTACGCCAACAAGGGGTAAACCTTCTAACTCAAAATAGTTTTTAAATGGTAACAAAAGTAATATATCCTGTAATTAAGTATCAAATTAGTAATTTAATTTTTGGTTATCGCTCTTTTTCATTCACACCCCTCTTAATATGTTGCACTACAGGTCTTCAATCACGAATTTCAAATTATACTATGAAAATTGCATGAACTATTTGAAAATTAATAAGTCAAACTTCAATGTTTAAGCAGTAACTCAATTTTCAGATGGTTTTTAGCTAAATGAAATGTCATGCGATCACTAGTGCTCCATCAGCATTGCCTTTCCTACAAGTCTTCTATTCTTTCATCGAAGACATAGATGCCACAGTTCCATTGCCTCATCTGTCCACTCTTTTGAAGGGATGCAACATTACAATATCGCATCGAGGAGCGACCTTATGCATGATCACACCAAATGCGCATCTTTAGTCGAAGGTGGTTGGAGTCCCAACTCCTAATTCCTTAAGCAAGTTGTGTTGTGTTGGGTTGACTCATATAATTATATTTAAAGACAAGGGACTTAGTTCACAATATTGTACTGCTGCAATTAGGTTCCATGAAAGATCAGTCGCCAATTAGTTTACTATAGTGATATGGAGGTCGAGCTGCGGTGATTGAATCACATGGATGTGGAGCTATGGTGATCGAGTAACGCTGAAAAGGGTCTTCCGCTAATATCAAAGATTGTAAAGTTACCAAGATGAAATATGCGACTAATGCCAAGAAAATTGAAATTATAGTTCGAAGAAGTAATATTGTAAAACCAGGTTTGAAGAACTTTGAATTTGGTTCTATCTACTATAATTGGATAGGAGACGGTGGCAACTACCGATGGATGTGCGAAGTGAATCTTAAGACTTGTTCTAACTGAAAATTTTGAGTCAAAGAGAATGTTGGGGTTGCCTCAGATGATTATATTAGAGAAGAGTGATTTAGTGTACAACCAATCAAAAATAAAAATAAAAATTAGGAAAGTATAATAAAGGTTTGGGCTGGGATTATTTGATGCCCAATGTTCATAGTTTCAATTATAAATTTTTACAATTGGCATCCATCAATTTTTTTATTTTTTATTTTATTATTATTATTTTTTTATGACGGGGGAATCTGCAGTCGTTACCCTTTGGGTGCGCACTGGGTAATCCCTAGGGCTGACGTAATAGCCTCCAAACCACGCCAGTTAGGTAAATCGTAATAGGCAAGCCAGGTACGACAAACTCGATCAAGAAAGTATTGGTATAGGAAATCAAACTTGTGATCAAAGGTATCCACGCTCACCTACTCTACCAACTTGGCCACCCCATGAGGGACACATCCATCAATTGTAGACACACGGACAGGGAGATTAATGTAGTCTCTATTTGTCTATCATTATTTTAAAACTATCTTTTTTATTCAAACAGAATTTCTTACAAAAAAATATATATATATTTTGTACGTAAACGTAAAACTTTTTCTTATTTTTTAATCATACATTTTTCAAATATTCACTATTTCAAAGCTCACTTTCTATTAAACAACAGTAGACAAATAGGGAATAGTAAAAAAGAATTCCATGAGAGATAAGCCCGCACTAAGAGAGGAAAGTCGAGAAAACAAAAGGCTATGTGCAAATGCGTGCATCTGTGCGTCTGCTTGGGCTGGACAATTAGTCTATGGATAACCCTGCTTGTCCAAGGCCACATGGGCCCTAGACAGACAGAGGCGCCCCTTATAGGTGAGGGGCCTTAGTCTATTAGTTTTGTCTAAAAATATGATGACATATGACAAAGAGTTCCTACAGATTGTCAGGATGTAGGGAAAAAATTGTGAAAAGAGAAAGTAGAAGAAGAAATAGTATGGGCAGGTGAGTGATGTATGTTGAAGTCTTCTAGTTTTGGGTTCGGAGAAGTTATGAGAGTGAGGAAAACATCATGTGTCGTATGTTGGAGCGTTTTCTTTCCGTGGACTCGTTTCTCATTTATCTTTCCACTTCGCGTTGGGTGGTTTTTTCCAAAAAGTTGGTAGTAATCTTCACACCTTGAAGCGTGTGTGAAATGGTTGTTTTGATGTTTCTTCAAAGGTAGCTTGTAGTCATATCAACATTGATCTGCCTAGAACAAGGCGTGGAAGTGTTGGATAAAAGTTGGTTGCAGATAACTTTTTAGAACATAATTAAAATGCAGAAAGTAAGAAGACTTATTGGTCGATAGAGACTCGTGCCAACATAATGTCATAAAATGAAATTGCCTATCATAAAAAACTGCTTTGGCCTCTTTAAACTCTCGCTCCAACATACAACAATCAAATCGTTTGTATAGCAATCACAAAAGACTTATAGAAATCTTAATATTATTTCAGAAAAATACCTCAAAAAATAAAATAATACTAAAATCGCATTTTTTTTTATAGAAATTACAGATATTAAAATGTAATTTCAATGTTTTAAGTATAATTTTTTCAAGGAACAAAAGATGTATATACATAGCTGAAAATTTATAACTTACACCACTAATATGTTAAAATTTTATAAAATTAAAACGATTTTTATAATGACTAGCTAGCTAGTTTGATAAAAATAAAAAATAAAAAAAAATGCGAAGATGATTAAAATAAAATAAAAAATTTATTTTTGTCAAAGAAGTCCAAGGCCCCAAGACTTAATCATAGACTTTTTAACATTCGTGTAAAATGTGAGCCGAACTGTTGACCTCTCACATATTCACTAGGCTCTCTATACCCTTTTTTTTCGTATGATATATTTGTTGTATCGTTAACAAGGAGGTCACAAGCATCTGTCGTATTATATAATATCATTTAACTTGACATATGAGTCGTTGAATAGAACCACGAATCAAGCATCTAATGGACCTCATCCACAACCCTTTGGCTCGTGATACTCTGCCATTATGTCATTTAAAAATAATTTTTAATCGTATTATCAAAACTGAGCTCCTATATTCTCTTTCTCTTGTGTTTCTCCCGTACTTGATAATATATGTGATTTGGCTGGAGCATGGAAGTACATACGATCGTTCCGCCCCTTCTGGAGCAACAATGTCCCTGAAAGTGTTTATCTAAATGTAAGGATTTATGCTTGAATAGAAAGAAGTTGAGATGTATTGACGCTCGAGGCCCACCGAATTAAGATGTCAACAAGAGCTTTTATGGAAACATGACACTTTCTTTGCCTCCTCTGATCTACTGATCTAAATGAAATTGTATTTTTTATTCTTAAGATGTAAAATGAATTTGTTTATGCGATAAGAGGTTGAGGGCAAGGGCATTGATTGATTTGCATGACAAGCCTAAATTTTGCAATTCGGTATCGACGTATAATTGCTGTGTCATAACTGCTGCCATGTTTTGCCCCTTCATTTGTTCATTGAACAAGTTATTTGACTGAATTATTAAAATGTTCCTAAATTGTACTTTTTCACGTCTTAATATAACTTTACACTCCGTCCAAGTTTTAGAAAAGAATAATCTTAATGATTTAAATCATGTCGGGATCATATTATGATGTACTTTACATTAATTAAGTAATTATGATGGTTGATGATACGAGAAGTTGTGGAGTTGACCGGACTCATATTTTTTCTTCGAGACATTTTAAAATTTAATTTCATAAGTTATTATGTTACACAAAAGATTAAGAACCTACTTGTACAAAGTTTGTTTATAAAGTTAGTTTACAAACTAAGTGCTAGCAAAATCTAGGCCATTGATTTCTATTGATTCCAAAAATTGTTTTTAACACGATTTGTCTACATATTGTCAACACATAATTTGTAAATCAAATTTGTCAACTTTGTTTGTACAAATAGCATGATTCAAAGATTAAATATATAGAGAATTCTTGGTACAATTCCAAAGTGTAGGAAACATGCTACCTTCGGAAGAGAAATTATGACTCATATAGTAAAGAAATTAAACAAGAGATATGAGCAGGGGTGAAACCAGACACTTTGGATTAGGGGGTCACAATCAAACTTTTAAACGGTGGGTAAACCGTTAATAGTAATGACAATTCGTAGTCAACAGATTGGAGAAGAGAAGAGAGAGAGAGAGAGAGAGGCACAAAGTTGAGTTTGGAGCTACCGATTGCGTAATATATTTATAGTATAGGGTTAAATTTTCACATTCTAAACAAAAATAATAATAATAATAATAATAATAATAATAATAATAATAATAATAATAATAATAATAATAATAATAATAA